TGAGCTATGATCCAAGGTCAGCAGCTCTTTCAACAAAAGTTCTTTCTCTTGTGGGCTCTCCAATAGCCAGATCTGCTTTTGCAGTGGGTCTGGTTTTTGGAGCCCACTTAGCAGTTTCCATTTTGGTGGGTCTGATGTTGTGAACCCACCTTTCCATTTTAGTTCTGGTGGGTCTGAATTTGGGGACCCACCTTTCTGGTTCAGTTTTAATGGGTCTTCGATTGGGGACCCACCTATCTGTATCAGTTTTGATGGGTCTTCGATTGGGGACCCACCTATCCGTTTCAGGTTTGGTAGGTCTCATCTTGGGGACCCACCTTTTCGTTTCAGTTTTGGTGGGTCTTATCTTGGGGACCCACCTTTCTGTTTTAGGTTTGGGAGGAGAGTAGACATGTGCTTTGTGATTGAATGGTCGTTTCTTAAGTTTGGTTTTGAAAATCTCCTCTTTAGAAAGTCGATTAAGATGTTTCCTTGAATGAACTCGAAGAGCATATTTCATATCAGGAATACAAAACGTTCCCTTAGAAGTTCTATTCTTGGTTTCTCTTTCGGGTTTGAGCTTTCTGTGAGGCTTTGTTTTAACAACATTCACATCACATTCATAATTATGGGAGTCTGGAACAGAATAACCATAAGCAACACTTGTATTATGAATATAACGATGTCTAGAAGATGTCTCAGAAATATTCAGCTTGGGACTCAAGACTGAACTACTAGAAGTTTATTTTGTAGAGACAGAATTACAATTAACTTTAGAGTAAAAAATAGAACTAGATCTAGGACTGGCATTATTCTCAAAAACTTTCTTTTTGCCTTCTGCGATTTCCTTCCTCTTTTTCCTCCACTCATTCTTCTCTTCTCCTTCCTTCTTCACTTCATTTCCTGTAAACAAAGGAGAAGAGAGATGAGTGGACGAAACCTTTTAAAGCATTGTTTTTCTCATGTGAGGTGTGTGAGCTGTCAGGCTTGGTGGTAGAAGGGTCTGTTTTAGCATGATACTGCTCACTCAAATCATTGAACTTTTGAAGAAGTTCCTGCCAGTTGCGCTCAAAACCTTTCTTATCAGTTTCAAATCTCTCTCTCTCTCGTTATCAAGAGTTTTCTGTAGGTTTTTGAGCTTTTGAGCCATGAGGAATATACAAGGTTCCTCACCAGTTTTAGCAATACCTACTCTTGGGGGAGGGTCTAGAGGATGTCCTATATGAGGAATATCTTTAGCATAAGGGTCAAGGCATTCACTAAAGCAGGAAGTAGATTTTTCTTGTGAAAGTTGTTTTTCGTTAACAGAGAGATAATCACAAGAAATCGCAGATTTTGGATTCTTTCTCTTTTCTTCTTCTGCTTCAGCTTTTTCTTCATCACTTCGAAAATACATTTTCTCGCCAAACCCTAGTCCCATGTAATCTTTGTTATAGATTTGAAGACAGTTAACTTTCTTTAGATTACGTGGGTTGGTTATGCCCAGTCCTATCCTAGGATTGTAAAATCGGTCATCCTTTTGTTTGCTGTTAAGCAGAAAAACTGTTTGTTCTGATTGGCCTCTCTTAGCAGCTAGATCCTCTAGTTCTTTTATTTTATTTAAAAGTGTTCTTCTCTTGTTATGCAAAAAATCGCATTCAGCCTTTGTTGTGTTTTTTTCTCGTTCACTATCCTCAAATTTCCTAGTTAATTCAGCTATCTTAATTTCAAAGCTTTCAAAATCTGAGGACACCTTTTTGACCTGATCTTTTGCAATTTCAAGTTGAACACTTAAGGAAGACTTTTGGTCTAGATTCTGTTTCAGTACCCTGTGATTATTGTCTAGTCTCTCCTTTAGTTCTTTGATTAGATTGTCCTTCTCAAGTAAGGACTGCATTTGGTTATTTAAAGGAGTATGAGAAGTACTTACAGAACTTGTTGAGCATTCGGTTTCGGGGATCGCAGCATCACCCTTTCTTTCATCTTCCTCCACTCGTGCCATCAGGGCATAGTCCTCCTCCTCCTCCTCCTCCTCAGAAGAGTCTTCTGCCCAGTTCTCATTCTCAGCAATCATTGCAGAAGTTTCTTCTTCTTTCTGTACCATCAAAATTTTCTGCTTATTCCACAGCATCTTCTGCTTGTAGAAATTAGCATCTTTCTTCTTTGGGAGGCGGCAGTCTTTGATGACATGTCCAGCCTTACCACAATTGTAGCATTTGGGAGCGTCTTCTGCTGATGGTGTCTTCCTAGAAGATCCTTGATCATGGTTCTTCTGTTTGTAGTTTGAGGAGGAGGTTCTCAGCTTGTTGGAGGAGCTGTTCTTCTTAGCAAATCTCTTGGCAAGCAGTGCCATCTTCTTCTGTAAGTCTGCTAGCTTAGCCTCTAGATCAGATTTGTCGTCATCACTTTCATCATCATCTGATTCAACCACCACCTTCTTCTTTTTCTTCTTTAGTGATGTGGTTGTCCTTCTGGGCTGAGCCTCCATTACAAGAGCTAAGGGATTTGTGGTGTGATGATCCTCGGCACAGGCAACCTCGTTGACAAATTGCTTAAGATGTTCATAGAGAGTGCAGAGGTCAATTTCATCCAAGTTGATCCTAGATCTAACATCCTTCACTGTCTTTTCCCATGCAGGATGCAGGCTGGATAGAAATCTAATATTCAATTCCAAATTGGACCTGAATACTTTGATTTTTATGAGTTCATTTACCAGTTGAACGAGTCTGTTGTAAGTCTCATTCAATGGTTCTCCTGGACCTGCTTTGAAGGAGTCATAGGTAATAAGAATTGTCGTCTTCTTTGTCTTAAGGCTAATGTTTGTGCCTTGAAGAAGTTTCTCTATTTCATCCCACATTTCCTTAGCTGTTTGCATGCTATCTATGAGAACGTATACTTCATTGGGGATTGCTTGAAGAAGGTATGTTTTGGCCATGAGATCACCACGAAACCTGAGCCTGTCAGCTTCCGTGTATTCATATGCCACTTTCCTCCTTATTTCTGGAAGAATAGGAGGGTTATTTTCTGGATCACCACCAACTGAAATCAAGAGTTCAGCTGGTCCTTCAAGCAAGGATTCAAGCATCGCAGCGGAGTTCTCTTTGTGCTCAAGGAAATTAAGGAATCTATTCCTCCACATTTGGTATTCTCCCTTCCTGAGACTAGGAGGGGTACTGCTGTTCCCTTGCGCATTGAATTCTGAGGCCATTGCTGTATTAAACTGACCGTTCGAGATAATTGATCAAAAGATTTTCAGAGGCAGAATGTCGAAAAATCAGATGTCGAGATCTGAATATCGAGATCTTGAGATTTCGATAAAGGAGGCCCGGTATCGAGATTTGAGCTCGAGATTGGGATCTCGAGATTAAGGATCTCGAGATTTCAAATTTCGAGAAGATGATCTCGAGATTTGAAATGTCGAGAAGTTAAAACTCGAAATCTTATTTCGAGATGTCAAATGTCGAGATCAGATGTCGAGACCTTGTTTTCGAAATCTTGATCTCGAAATCCTAGATGTCGAAATCCTCAATTTCGAAATCCTGCAAACTGTAAAAATCAGATAAGCAAAATCTGAAGGTAGTTTCCTGTAGAGTAGGATGTCGAGATCCTCAGGAAAAATTTTCAGCTCGAAAAACGTAGCAAAACCTGTGGAAAAACTAGATGTCGACAAGGCCTACTCGAGATATCTCTAGTACAGAATATGCGTAAAACGAAATCTGAAGTATACCCCTTGATCGCTTTGAAAAGACGATTCTAAGGGTGAAACTTTTACAACTTTTGAAAAAGAAACAAAAATACAGAGTGAAATATCGACAGTAAGAACAACGTAAAGAAAAACAGAGTCTTCTGCAGGCGTTCTTCTGATCGGCTCTCGATCGGCTCTGATACCAAATGATAGTCCCTGTTTCTGTAACAGCAATGAATAACAATCTAACAAAGAAGATTAAACGTAAGGATGAACACAGATTGAATCGATGTAAAACCCTCTTTGATAGACCGTGAACTCATACAACAGAAATATATGCGCGTAAGGCTATGAAGAATAAGTACGACATTAACCTAATCTTAAACCCCCGGCTCCCCTTTTATAGGCGAGGTTTAGGTTAGGCGTACAAGGCTTTTAGTCTGCTTATATGGGCCTAACACTTGGCCCAAGTTCTATCTAATTCATGCACTAATTAAATACAAGGGTTAATAATAAGCTAATCTATGACAAACTTGATTCACAATTAAAATATCTCCAACAGATCTATTAAATTTAAATTCTAAAAACACATATTAAGTCATAACATGCATTTATAACATATATAAACAATATAAGAAAAGTTATTTTGAAGTGATATTTGACTAATATTTAACCTATGCTCAAATCGATTCAATATTCGTATATGATTCGTTAACTATTCGCATTGTTAAACAAATACAAATCGTAATTAATATTCGTTTCGTATTTGAATTCGAATTCGTATTCGAAAAAATTAAACAAATACAAATACAAAATCGCGCTATTCGACTTGATTCCGTTCGTTTACAAATCAGGATATCTATATCATTGTTGTACTTTCGTTACAAACTCTAGACCCTTATGGCCTGTTTGGATTGAGTGTTAGAGAGTGTTAGTAATGGAAGTGTTAGTAAATGTTGATAATAAGACTTGTTTAGAAGAAAAATTAAGAAGTGTTAAAAAGTGTTAGTAAAAGTTAGGAAGTGTTAATAATAACCTTCCTAACACCTCAATTGTCCACTTTTTTAACACCCTGATTTGGAGTGTTTTGAGGTGCTGAACAATTATTACTCTTCTCATTTACCCTAAAAACATAAAATGGTTCGACATCTCACTTCGAATCTCTTTGGCGCAGGTCTGATGATCTGCCTTTTAATCTCTTCTCCTTACTCGTTTTCTTCTGGCTCAAGGTAAAATTATTAACACTTCCATTATTAACACTTCATTCATCTAACTCTTCTTAACAAAATGGAAGGGAATTATAAATGTTAAACATAATTTTACTTGTTTGGGAATTGGGATAGTCGGATGAATGAATTAATAATGGCCCAGTTAATAATTTTAGGTCGAGCCCAAAGAACCGACTGAAGATCAGAACCAAAATGTAAAAAGTAGTGAGAATACTATGAACCTGGGAGATTTAATAATGGAAGAACTGACGGAAGATGAACGAAAAGCTCTTAGAGGAAGCAAATTTGCTCCTTTGCCCTCCGCCGCTCCACCCCGTCATCAACCAAGGTAGTACCCGCTTCCTAGGCAGTTTATGCGCGCCCTCCGCTTTTAAAGTATCAATTAGGTTTTGTGTACTTAGGCTGGCTCATCCGGGTGGACCGTTGAAGACGAACAAGGCTGCAGCTTTGGCGAAATTTCTCGACAGGAAATTGCAGGAGCCGAATGGATTGTCTTCTGTTGATCCAAGACTCGTCGAGCTCGCTGTAAGAAATGCTAAAGAGACTGTCCAATCAAGTAAGTACTGTTTTCTTTGCGTTTTGCTTTTTATCTGCTTTGATTTTAATCCGTATACTGATTTGTATGTTTCTCTATGAACTCATCCAAACCACATGAACCACTAGCTCAAACAACATATGCATATATACACATACCCATATAATTTAATGTGTACAATGTACAATGGCTATCCGTGTGCTATAAGTTTTTGATTTTAATACAGCATTGAGAGTGTACTGGAGGGAATCTATCATAAAAACTTGCCAGTATGCTTTTTTACATTATTTTAGGCACTAGAAGTTTCATTCAGCATTTCAACCGATCCGACTAGTTAGGATGTAGGTGGTGTTAGCAATGATGGTTATTATTATCAGTTTTTTTCATTGAAAACGTACTAGAGGAGCAAATATACTTTATGTGTGTTTTATGGATAAGTTGTAATGCGGTATCTCACATATCATATTGGGGATGAATGTTGAAGTCGGTATAATTGGTTTATTCACATGTTCCAAAGAGGTAAAATCTGTGTTGTAGAAGAAGCTTTGACTAGTGCCCCTTTAGAAGAGTCTAGTTCGGCATCTAGTCTCGCAGCAGAAGTCAGAAAGTTTCCTTATGAGTTGTGATATGCTTATATGCTAAGAACTTAAGCTATGATTTACGGGCCTATAGGTGGCTGAAGAAGCCAAGAAGATAAATTGCTCTTTCCTATGCGATACACTAGAGGTGCACATGGGGACCAAGAAGAGGGAAAGATGAGTTGGATGGACGAAAGCTTTGAAGAATTAATTTATTCAATTTCAATGCCTCTTTCAATTGCATGATGCCTTCCTATTTAAATGAATTGCAATTCTTTGAAAGAAAAAACAACAAGAAATGAAATCTGTCGTAGCTAATTCAGCCTAATTGAGAACCAATCAGTGTACCTTGGTTTTCTGATGCATGCTACATTGCAAGGCTATACAGAGAATAAAAGAGCAGTGAAGTAAAAGTTTGAGGAGAATGACATGGCTGTTTGGTTTGCTCAAATATGGTTGATTGCTTTCATTTAGTTTGATTTTCATACCTCCTTTAGCTTATCTAATTTTGGAAGTAGTTTTCTAGGATTTCGGAAAGTGTTCCAATCTAGTACCCCTGTCTGTTTTCGTAATTAAGGGTCCATTTGGTACCATTTTTAGTTTTATGTTTTACTTAATACATACAATATATGGTGTAATAATCTAAAAGATACTCATATTCATAGTAATTGATGGAGTATATGTCCCAGGACCCCTGGCCCAGGGGTCCACACTTCACATGTTTGAACTACACAAATATAGGCCCAACAGGCCACAAGAAGCCCAACAAGCAACCAGCCACCCCTTGAGTGGGCCGCCAACCATCATAGGCAACAACGGCACCCAGAATGGGCTACTGAGAAAACCGACTTGGAAGGATTGCGTCATCCACCAGACCCCTCGGCATCCGAGGGTGGAGTCCTCGGCCTTGTCCCTAAGACTCTCGTTCTGTCATCAAACAACACTCACCAAAGACATTTGATGCACCGCCACGTGCCCATTTATGTCCTACATTAGAGCTCTCCACCATAGACTAGCTTACACATGTACGTGCATTTATTGCACTTAGCATTTATGACTAGTATAAATAGCCTCCCTTTGGGAAGATGTAACAGTTCGAACTTCAATAATACCATACACACTTCTCTCTTTAACTTGTTAGTTCTGTCTTCTCTCTACATATTGCTAGTGGAATCCCAGTTCATCTAGCTATCAGTAATCATGTTAGTTTTGGAAGCTGCCAACCATATGACTAAAACCAACTTTTTCTGATTTTCACAGTTTTGTTGTTAATTCTCAAGAAAACAGAAACCAGTTCCAATGAGGCTTAAGGTAGTAATTTATTGTTTATTATCATAAGCAGTTGAAGTGTACTAACACATAGAAAAATTGTAAGACCATTGGTTTTCCATATTTAACTAGAGTTTGCTGAGTATTGTTTTTTACTCCCTCCCTAAAGAGTCATACTTGCAAAACTTTTTATATGAGTAATGCCAGGTTTTAAAAGTAAACTTTATATTCAACTAAACTTTCTGCAAAGCCAAATGCTTAGTTTTAAAAGGCGCGAGGCGGCACGAGGCGTTTTCATTTATTTACCCGAGGCGCGAGGCGCTAGGCGACGAGGCGCGCGCCTCACGGATCTTAACATCATATCTTTGGTAAGATATATAGTATACTATTTCTAGTCTTCTACATGAAGCACTCATCTCAAAAAATGATAACATCACAAAAATACTTCAAACTATTAAACAATCTTAACATACATCATAAGACAAATCAAATATTTATTAAGACAATAGCAAGAAATAAATATCAAACGGCATCATTGGCAAGAGTCAAGTCAGAAAACTCAATCTTAAAATTTCAAAACATAATTAATAAGATGTTATATAAAAAATTGTTATTAATAAAATCTGTCTTATATATTTGTTAAATAAAATCAGATATTTAGGTACCCTACTCAGCATGATCTAGAACAGACCAACAGAGGTAGTAACACTACAATTTCAAGGTAATAAAATATAAAATAAAACATACTTAATTAGTAAACTATCACACGTATAAGAGAACAAACTGTAGAAGAGAAGAAATAAATACTTACCTGCGACTACTCTGTGACGCGAGAAAGTAGCGGAAGAAACAGACTTGCGAGTCTTGCTACGCGAACAAGAAACAGGACCGCAGATGTGGGAACTCGGAAGCAAACCAAACGCAGAAGGAAGAAGGGAGAAGACTAGAGACTCAATCGCCAAAAGAGACATCCATGATGCGTGAGAAGCGCGCGCCTCTCAGAGGCGCAAAAGGCGTCAAAAAGCGCCATATAAGGCGCGCCTCTTGGAACCTATGCCGCCTGGCGGTGGAAGATGCGATAAAGTGATTGCCTTAGGGCGCCTCGCGCCTTTGCGCGCCTCAGGCGCGCTTTTTTAAACCAAGGCCAAATGGCATGTGGTTTTTGTCCATTACTCCAAACATGTTTTTATATATTTTATAGCGTTATAAATAATCATTTATCTTTTGTTAAATTTTGCAGTTAGATTAGGACACTAAACTGTGAAATTGTGAGAATGAAATTGTGAGAGAAATGCTTTAGTGTTATTGAGGATCCGTCTTGCCTTCATACGACTTGATGGGCTGCCTCAGTACTTTCCAGGAAAGCGGGCACCCAGGACCCTTGAGGTGAAAGAAGTTCTTGTTTTCATCTGGACAACAGGCTCCTTGTCGCCCTCAGCCATCTTCTTCTGGAGGCCATCAACGTTCTGGAGGAGGGCTGCGACCATGGAGTTCGTCTAAGGGGCTGAGGTCCCCTGTTGTTGTTATGCCTCTATCTTGTCTAGGCAACGCTGTAGGGCGTCAATAATGTCATCCTTGTGGTCCCTGGTGGCAGTCTCCTGCTGCCGGTGAGAGGCTGTCCTCACCGAGTGCACCTAAGATTAGAGAGGCTTCTTGTCCTTGTTACAGGGGGGTTGTTGTTCCGTTTCCTCAGAAATCGAACCCGGACTGCTCTCTAGTGCAGAGTTACAGCTCTGTGCCTTGGCAAGTTACTTTTCCCCTAGCTTAAAAGTTGATTGATGAGGTCGTTCGTGATGACAACGTACCTTTCCGCGAGAGAGGGCTTCATGTGAGGCGGTGTCCTGAGCGATGATGACGGCGGTGGCGGCAGCAGAGTCACGTTCTCACCTGTATGAGGGATGAGGGTGCCAAGGGCAGCCGCATTTCAGACTAGGCTGTTGATGAAAGCCAAGAACGCGGTTTGAACGTCGTTGCCCTGTGTTGGGGGTCTGGTCGCTTCGTTCCTTCCTTCAGGCCTCGATCTTGATGCAAGCATCGGGGGCTTTTTGCTCAAGGGTCGTGCAGAGGTCGACAACGACGTGCTCCTGTTCGTTGAGAATGCCAGTGCCCTCAGTGGCCCTCCTAGCCATGGACAAGGCTGTTGTCTCAACTCCCTTCTCGCGGTTCCGGCAGAGTCCATGATGATTTGCTTGGAACCTCTGGTCTTTCTCTTTAGTTCCGCGGGGTTGTATATAAGGGGAAGTATGGTTTGAGATAATTCATTGGTTTGTTATGGAGGGAAATGGAGGGGAAATTGTGGAATTTCCATGCCCAAATTAGAACAAATTGGGAGGAACTGAAGAAGCACATTCTCTTAAGTTTTCTCTTAACAACTAGTCCATCCGGCTATAGTTGGGTTGAATTAAAACTCATACATACTTTATGTACAAATAATTTGTATTATGTCTTTTGTGTATGGATGGCTTGAGATGTAATTCTTGCGGCATTTTGTAGTACTAGAAGCTTTCATTTGAAATAGTAGAAAATGATTTTTTAAAGAAAAACCGAACCGATTATTCGGTTCCCGAAACCGAATAATCATTCGGTTTTCAGTTTTTGGAGAATACCAGAATGTCAGTTCAGTTTTTGGTGTCCCAATTTCGGTTCGGGTCTCGAACCAAATCCCACCCTACTTCAACCAGTGTTCCATCCAATTGCTATATGTCTGCGTGCTGGAAGGATTGCAATGCAATTTATTTCTAGATTGTGTTAAGATTGGATCAGTTTTTAAATGCAATATGCTGTTGCTACACAACAAGAAATCTAACATTCAACTTTCATTTTTGACTGAAGAGGGGTTAATCTTTTGTGCCTTTTCCATATAGGATGTGGATTCACAGTAATGTATTTCGACTTTGTGATGAGCAGGTGGAACATCTAGTTCAGGAAGAGTAATTCAGCATGTGGATTCTTTTGGTGAATATGAGGTGCTTTATTCTACATCAATGGCTGCATTTTGGTTTCTACTCAACCTTTTGTAAGTTACTTTGATGATCTTTGGAAGTGTGATAAACCTTGCAGCATTTTTCCGATGGGGAGGAAGTTAAAGTTTCTGTGTGTAAAAACAAAAGTAAGAAGCAGAAAAAGAAAAAGAAGGAAAAGAGAAGCAAAAAACAGGTAGTTTACTGACATGAGATTTATCAACTTTGTCTGTATACACAATTGCCTAAGTTTCTAACTTAGACCTGAGAAGTTTTGCTTATTTATTTTTTGCAGAAGTTGGAGCATTCCGACTGTGAATGGATGAAAACCCCCAAGAAGAAGCAGAAACTATAAAGTTTTTTTTGAGTGAGTAAGAAAGCTATGAACTCTTTTGGATGCAAATGCAGTTGAGTTCCCACACATTTAGTGACGTCTTTTGCACTTGAAATGCAATTATGTGAGGACTGAGGGGTTGTGCCGACAAAGAGCTTAGCAAAAAATTGTAACTCGAGCTCGATGGCGACCTTTGGATCCCAAAATCTGTTATTGAAATGAAAGAAATGCTAATGAAGGTTTTTCTTTTATGTTTGGTTCACCTCGCAAAATGCAATGGAAATAGAAATAATGAGGACAATTCATATCAACCGGCCTGACGGGAAAGGCCGAGGCCATTTGGGGCCCTTCTCAGTGGAATTCTTTTATGATTTATTTTTGCATGTTCTTCATCAAGTGTGGATTATCTCTACAAAATTTTAGTTTAAAACTCAACCGGGAAGTCAGTTAAATAAAAGATTGAAACATATTGCGCTTTATGTATGTAAATAATGTGCATTATATTTCAATAATTTATTTACTTAACTTCCAAGTTGAATTTTAAGCTCAAATTTTGTGGAAATCGTTTACACTTGATGAAGAACATGGTTAAAAAAATTCATCAAAAATTTGCACCTAGAACACCTCAATATGGCCTCGGCCTGACGGTGGTTCCTATTAGGTAGTGTTGGACTTGGGTCGGGCCACCCGGCCCGTGGCTCGCCCCGGCCCGCTACTGTGCAGGATCGGGACTGGCCCGGTTCTCGGGTCCGGGTCTGGGTCGGGCCTAGGCCTGGGGGGTAGGGCGGGTCCGGGCTCGGGTCTCACATTTGCCGAACCGGCCGGGTCGGGCCCGGGCCCGGGCCAAATTGATTTTTTTTTTTCATTTTTGGGGTTCCACTCGAGTTGGGCTTGATGGTTAGGATGGGTTTGGGGGGGGGGGGGGGTTTGAGAGGGTGTGGGGGGGGGGGTTAGGAAAGCAAAAAAAAACCAAAATCGGAGGCCTAGACCGGACCCGGTGGCTACCCGGGCCGGTCTTGGGTCCACCATTCCTGAACCGCCGGCCCGCCTGGGCCTAGGCCCGACCTGGACCTGGCTTGGACCCGAGTCCACCCCTACTATTAGGTTGGCCTGATGAGAATGCTACTCTAGAAATGATAAATGCTTTTTGGATACGAATCCAGAAAAATATTATTTACATGTGTCCCATTGGACATTGCTAAGTTTATGTTAGGTTTGAAATAATAAAAAAAAAATTGTACTAGTATGATTGAAAGAGAAATAAGCATAATTACAAATTTTTTTGAAAGTGTTAAAGTTTGTGGGACAAATCGGACAATTAAAAATGAAAGTTGGTAAATCCACTTGAAGTAAAATTTTATTTAGCTTGTAACAATGTTTTTTGCTCTAAAGTCTAAACATATGTTACCATTCAAATCCTTTTCTGCCTTGAACGCTTATATGTGTTTTGCCCTATATTAAGGCGTACATTAATCGAGACACTTTGATATGTAAATTATGGATTTGGGAGACTTGTAAATTTAGTTCCGTAATTTTTGACAGTATTCACTATCGGTCTTGTCTTGTAACTTTAGTCACTTGTAATTTTGGTTTTGTAGTTAAAAATCTTTACAATTTAAAGGATTTACCTTGAAAAGAACACTTTCCATCAAAAGAATTCTTGGAAAAGATATCGCCGTTATCCAATTTTCTACTAGAAATATAACTTTTCTATGGAAAAGTCCCTAAATTACAAAAAATTGTTAATCACATGCAGGGGCGGATCCATTAAGGCTGGAGAAGGACAACTGCTCCCAATAAAAGTCCACTAAACCCTTCTAATTTTTTAATACTCCGTAAATATTAAAAGCTCAACTGTTTGTCTCTGATTAAAAAAATGGATTGCACCCAATAACCAAAATCTTCCAGCCCGCCCCAATGAAAAGAGGATTAGTCTGCAGAATCCAAGCCCCTAAACTCTTGCGCGCAGAGCCGCAGATGAGCAGTCCGCAGAAGCCAGAGTCAGCAGACCAGCAGTCCCGCCACTGGTCCGACCTCCTTGATCCGACGCTCCGACGACTCCGTGGCTCCGTTCAGCTGTTGCGTGCACTCAAGGTGTCAAGCAATCCAGCAGTCCGCGCACTCTGTAGAACGGCAGAAGGCCAATAACTAGCCAACTAGGTAAGCCTTTTCACTTTAATTTTTCATCCTTTATCAATTAGAGTTGTTAGATTTGGAGTGTTGCCCACTTTCGTGTTGTGTAGTTAATATTTAGTAATTATATACATATTAAATACTGTAATTTAACTAATTGTAGTGTTTTTAATTTATTTACATCATAGATTAAATATTTTAGAAGGTTCAATTAGATTTAATTTAATTGATGAGTTACTGAAATTGTTAATTAATTCAATTTTAGAATGTTTTATACTATTAGAAAGTAGAAACCCTAAATGTAAATTATATATTATTTTAGGTAGTTAAATGAAATGTATTAATATATTAAAACAGTTTATTTTAATTTAACTTCTTTTTCAGACTCAATGAAGAGATATTGGGCTACCCTTCCTTCACTAGGTAGTTCAAATAATAGTGTTCTTCATCAAAACCTGAACAAGTTAATTTGGATGAGCTTCCCTCAGATCCCGCAAAAAGAAGGAAATTTTTTTAGTACCATCCTAATCAAATAGATGAAATCAGGAGAAAATATTTGATTAAAGGATCTTGTCAACCACGTGGTCATGACTCCCCACAAAAAGAGATTGGGAAGACTTTAAGACGCTTTCACTCTAAATGGTTTGATCAATATCCTAATTGGTTAGAATATAGTATACAAGATGACAAAGCCTTTTGTTTGTCTTGTTACTTGTTTAGAGATCGCTTTGAGAATCGTGCTGGGAATGAGGCCTTTGTAATTGAAGGGTTCTCAAGTTGGAATAAAACGGAGCGATTAGCTTCTCATGTGGGTAATATAAATAGTTTCCACAACAAGGCACTTAAAAATGAGATGATTTAATGAACCAAGACCAGTCGACTGTTGTTGCTTTGCATAGACAAAGTGAAATTGTGAAGAATGAATATTGTATTCGTTTGACACGTCAAAGCAACAATTGCTTAAGGTAAGAGCTGATGGATGGGATTCTCATTTGAGAAAGATCTTAGAATTTTGTGAGAAGCATGAAATTTCTGTGCTTAATATGGATGAGGACTTTGTTAACCCAAGGAGGCCACGTCAAAGAACTAATATCACTAATCGACATAGTATGAATGTTTTAATATCATAATGGATTTGCAAATTAGTGAATTTGATGACCGTTTCAATGAGGTAAATTATGAGCTACTTGTTTGCATGGCCTCTTTGAATCCGATTGATTCCTTCCATGAGTTTGATGCTTCAAAATTGTTGAGATTGGCTGAATTTTATCCAAGTGACTTCAGTTGTGTGGAACGCATAACTCTTGAGCACCAAGTGAGTATTTATATTGACAATGTGTTGGCGGATGAAAGGTTTGCTAGATTGAAATATGTGTTTTCAATCTTTATTGTAAGACTTTAATTATTGTAATGTATTGGGTAGGACTTTAATTATTGTAATATTACATTACTACTTTATTATTCTTTTTTGTGATGCATAGTGATCGTTACATGATTAATAGTGATCGTAGCCAAAAATTACAGGACTAATGTTATAAATTTTCCTTTTAGTTTTAGTACTAATCATTGTTCTAAAACTCGCTAGGTGCTACTCGGGCGGTTGAGGGGCACATAGGCGGCCGACTATGCCGATTTTTTGGCCGACTATGCCGATTTTTTGGCCGACTATGCCGATTTTTTGGCCGACTAGGCCGATTAGTGATCCTCAGTTAGAGCCGCCTAGGCTGTCTAGGTCGATTAATCGGTCCGACTAGACCGATTTTTAGAACAGTGGTACTAACGAAATTATTTTTAGGGGTCGTGTAACTTTAACGATTATAATCCCCTCCTGATCTAAAATATATTTTATAATTTAGACCATTGTCAATTGAATCTCTTTGAGGATAGGTGAAAGTACTCGTGGTGATTGTGTATCATTATCTCGAGTCTTGTTTTGTTCTTGTAAGTTAACACATACTCCCTCCGTCCCGAAAAGGTTGGCCAAATTTCATTTTTTTGATATCCCAAAAAGATTTGTCAATTCCATTTAAAGTAAGAAATATGTGGTTAAAATATGTGTCATTTTAACCATACAGTTTTTACTTTATTAATCCACGTGAAAATCAACTTTAGCCAACCTTTTCGGGACAGAAGGAGTATATTATTTGATCTGCTCAATTTGTGTGGATTACCTATATATGTTGAGCACAACATATATAATACTATATGTCACTTGACTTTTGATGAGGGTAATGTTTTTGGTGCACATAGGTTGACTTCCATGATGTGGAGGGGAAAGTAGTACCCTGGGAAACCACGACACGACGTTCTTTTACGTTATACTCCTTCCATCCCGTTGGAATGTTCCCGGTTTGAACTACACACATATTAAGGAAATAAACTTACCAAGGGGTAAATTTTACTGTTTTGACATTGTTTCGACACTGTTTGGCACTGCTTCGACACTGTTTGACACTGTTTTTGCACTGCTTGACCCTATTTTGATGTAGGATAACTTTTCATTTAGGGAAATGAAACTTTCCAACCAGACATCCAAAAAAGGAAAGAGGGAACATTCCAACGGGACGGAAGGAGTATATATACTCTCTCTCATTTAAAATTTACACTTTTCTTTTTGGGACATTCTATTTACTCTTTTACGTGTCATTTTTAGACAACTCCTTTTATATTAAATGTCTGAACTACTCTTCACTATTCACTCACTTTTTACATTTGAGTGGATAACATTAATCCCCTCAAATGTCAAAAAACATGCAAGATATTTGTTATTCTATTAATTGAACTCCTAAAATATTGTACTAAAAGAAAACGTCGAGTTCTATCTGGGACGCAAGGAGTATTGTAGTTTATTTTTAAGGACTTTGACCCACACAAGTACTTTGTATTTTGGTTAACAATTGATTTACTTATATAAGTACAAGTCCTTTATTTTAAGTCCAATAATTTATTATGTTTTGGATATGAAGTGGCCGTTTGGCAACCCTCATTTTCGGCTTATCAGCCAACTTTTTTACCAAACAAGTAAATTTTACTTTCGCGCACTGAATTGTGTAATAAGCTGAAAAAGTAAGGTTGAAGTTGCTTTTCTGGCTGTATTGGCTGAATTTACTGTAGATGATCATTTTAGCTATT